TCGGGAGTTACACCAGTCAAGGAAATACAACATATGGCATGACAACAAGGCCAGCCAGTCAGGTCCCATCTTCGGCACGTGCATGTTTGTTTTTTGAGATCAACCACATACTTTCCACCATACGCATGTGTCACTTCAAACTGGTCCTCCTTGGACCATCTTGCAATGTTTGAAGCAGCTTCTGTTTTTGCCTTCTCAAGTTTTTTCTGAATTTTGGGACATATCTTGTCATTTCTCTTCTTCATCCATTCTCTCTTGGTTCTCAGCCTTTCCATTAGATAAATTCTGAGTGTCTCAAGCATTCCCAAAATTGGTTTTTCCCTAGCTGCCATAATGACTGAATTAAAACTCTCGCACAAATTGTTGAGCAGAATATCGCACTTTGGTGTGGTCCGAAAGTGCGATCTTGACCAATGACAAGGTGATATGTTTTCAATTAGCCATTTCCATGCTTTTCCATCATATTCCTTCAAACTCTCCATCTGATTTTCAAACCATGTCATGTAGGACGACCGAGCACAAGTCCAAAATCTCTCCTTCAATGCCAAGCCCGGGTGCAACTTTTTGAAGTTGTTGTGGAGGTGCCTAACACAGTGTCTATGCTCAATTTCTGGAAGCACTTCATGAATTGCAGTCCCTAAACCCTGTTATAAGATTACATATCAAATTAAGTACTAAATTTCAGTAAGAATTAATTATTAAATTTCAGTAAGAATTAAGTATTAAATTTATCGTAAGAATGAAAATTAATTAATTCAGCAAGAGAGTACCTTTTGTCTATCACTAATAAGTGTCCACTTTCTTTGGTCATAAATTTCCAAGTCGTACTTCAAAAATTCGACGAACCACTTCCAAGACATTTTGTTTTCAGCCTCTACTACTGCATAAGCAATGGGATACAGGCAATCATTTGGATCAATCCCAACAGCTGTCAGTAGCACTCCGGGGTGTGGACCTCGTAAATGGCAGCCATCCACTCCAATGACGGGCCTACATGCAGACTTATATCCTCTTTTTAGTGCCCCAAAGCAGACATACAACCTTTGGAATCTCTCTCTCCCAATGTCTTCATCTAACTCTGTCTCCATGTACACAGTGGAACCCGGATTGCATTTTAGCAGCTCGTCACAATAATCCCAAAGCCTTTGATATTGTTCTTTATAGCTCCCATGGATTATGATCTTTGCTTTCATGAATGTCTTGTATACTTGTGCTATAGTGATGTGAACATTAAGTTCCGAATGCACCTTCTCCCTAAATTCCTCAACAGTGATTTTCTTATTCAACCTTAAAAATTCTGCATATTTTTTAGCTAGAAAACCTGAGGTAGCTCTCTTGTGGTAGAATGTCCGGCCACAAGTGTGCTCAGGTCCCATAGTCTTCATCACAAGAGAGTCATCACCGGCCTCAACCTTAGAGGCAAACAACATCCATTGACAATTTTCAGCCTTGCATTTAACTCTCATCCGTGTAGCATCTTGTTTTACCCATTGTATATCCTTGCCCCACTTGACTGCATAGTTATCCACAGCTAATTTCAACAATTGTTTATTATCAAAAATCTGTCCAACATGAAATTTAGGATCTTCCATATCCACATCAGGCTTAAACCTCACAAGACTCGGGTTTTTAGCCTTTTTCTTTTTTTTGCTGTCTTCATCCGAGGAGGACTGACAACTTTTCAACTCATCTGAGGCAAGCGAATCAGATTCCTCGTGGACTGGAATCTGATCTCCTTCATCTAAGTGCAAGTCCTTCAAAGAATGATCTTTAGCTCTATCTTTTTTCTTCTCGGCTGCAGGCATAGACATTTTCTGTTTCTTACACTCCTTGCCCCTACTTTTTGCTCCACCATCAGGTTGTATCTTTCCAATTCGACAATCTAACTCTTGCTCGGGTGTAACAATGCAACTCTGAAATATAACATCTTCTTCATCATGGCTGAAATCATAATCGCTATCATGGAAGCTTTCAGCTCTAGATGAATCCGAATGGACAGCATCATCATCACCATCATCATCACCATCATCATCACCATCATTTCCTCCATGTTCAGCAGGCTCTGTTTTTTCATTTTTTGACCTCACACGCTCCTTCATTTGCTCAACTTTGACTGGTATTTCTTCGAAGTCAGCTAGATCAATATCATCAAAGGTGAGCCCCACATATAAATTATCATCTTTTAGTTGAATCTCCTCAACAGTTGCTGCACCTAAATCAGTGTCGCTATTAACATCTCGTATATGGAATTCATGGATACCATACACATCAACTTCTCCATATTTTTTACCAATGCAAGCCACGTCTATTGCATCATCCTCACTATCTATTTGCCGAAACTTCAGGACATTTTTTTCATAGGGGATTCCATACATCATCTTTGAATCCTCCCGACAGCCCACAAAAGTGCAAAAGTGACTCAGAATTGACTTACTAACTCTTTCTGGAATAACTCCGTCAAATGTTTTGACGCTACCCCCTACGTATGCTTCTTTTGGCTCTTTAACATAGACACCACCATAATGTACTTTCAAAGTAAAATAATCCATATCTTGACCTGCTTTTTTATTTAAAAAAATAGAAATCTTTTATTATTTCTCAGATGCAGAACCTTGGCCCCAGTTATGTCTGACTTTTCATCAACATGAAAGCAACGCATAGTATACTTTAAAGGCACATGGACCACATCACAGTTCACAAACAAACAAATTTACTTTAATCGAGACCAAATTTCACCACCTAAACCAAAAGCATACATATTCAATTTTAAAATTACCAACATTTCAACATCACAAATCTCAGGAAAACAAAGTAAAATTTTGAAAGTACCATACCCAAACTAAATGCTTTATCTTACCCATGTGGAACCTATAAGCACTTTAACAAAAAATTTTAACATCCCCTAACCTGTTCATGCCTCGCCACTGAAGTACAATACTGCAAAATTAAACCCTCCTCCCTCAAGTCCTTCCATTATACATTATATCACCATTCCAACATACGACTGGGTAGTGGCACTCAACTCAAGCACCTCATGCATACGGTTGATGAAGTTAGGTTTGAAGTAAGCCGAGTTACCTGATCTTGTTGATGATTCCACTTGATCGTTGCAATCCTTGACAGAATCGCCATTGTCCATTGCCTGAGCTCGTGGTGTAGACAGTTCGATTCTAGCCTCCATCGTCTGTTCACCCAAGCCCAATGACTCCACTTGATCGTTGCCATCCTTTACAGAATCGCCATCGTCCATTGCCTGAGCTCGTGGCGTAGACATTTCGATTCTGGCCTCCACCTTCTGTTCACCGCTCGCCCTAGTTGTTCTCCCAATTTTCCCCATTTGAGTTCTATTTCCAAGGATAATCGCATGGGCGGGATAATGATATCTAATTCGTTTCAGTGGATAATTGCAGGAGATTAAGCCAGTGTGACAATTATACCCCTTTGGTCCACGCGAATTGAGTAAAATGTAGTAAAAAGTCCTACATTGAAAGCAAAAAACTAGTTAAGGGACTAAATTGGTTAAAATATTTAATGAAGGACGAAATTGATTTAAGTGAAAATGTTTAGGAACCAATTTGGCGAAATTCCCTTTCTTCTATTTCTCCACCGGTTCAAGGACCTGTAAAATTTGCAATACAAAAAAGAGTTCTCTACCGTCTTGAAGGGTGGAAGTCAGAAGTGTAATCAAATGATTTTAGGAAGTATGGTTGATATTTTTAAGTTCCTCCATCACAATTCATGAACGAACGAATCACACACATTCACAATTATCAATTGGTTTTACCACAGAAACAATCCGAGGAAAATGAAGATGGTTTTTTGGGATACTACCATAATTCACGAGAATTCAGTGAACATGCCTTTTTTGCCACGAGAATTCGCGTTTCCAATCGTTAGCCCGTAAAACTTTTGTCGGCTGCCATTTTTCCGGTCGGTCTAGCATGTAACGTATCAAGTTAAAGCGGACGCAATTGTTCGGGATACTTTTGTTGCAGGGGAGACGCCCAACCGAGTCGATCTTGCTAGCTATTTGGTCAACCGTTCGGCTCGAATTCATTTTGACTGAGTTGAGGCTCGAGATTCAATAAATTAGCCATTTGAGTTCGCAAGTCGAATTCGATTTTTAATATTTTATACTCGAAGGATTGACGAGTCTAATCATACTTTATTATATATATATATATATATGTATATGTGCATATAATTTTTTAATATTTATTATTGTGAGTTTGATTAGGTTTGATTACGCTCAAATAAATTGGATTGAACTCGATTTGATTCAATTAAATTTATTTGAACTTGAGTTCGAGTAAAATAAACCGAGGTCGAGTTCACGAATGTTACTTTTGATCCCACTTACACACGTCAGTAGTCACGGTACTATTTTTACTAGTATTAAACTCTTCTGTTGATCCCACTATTGTGAGCTATTTGTAATTATATGTATAATAAATCAAAGACATTCTCTTCTTTTTCGTTCAAAAATTTTTTTAACCTCAAAGATATATTCTATCTCATTCAATTTCTTTGACAAGTTGATTATAGCATAATTATATCAGTTGATAAATTGTGGAATCAAATCACACCATTCAATCCAGAGAGAAGACTGTATATATCGGATAGACTTCTCCTTCAAATATAAAATTTTTGACCAAGCAAAGATCAAACAAAAATGTGGAACAAGGCCGGGTGGCAAAGATATTTATTTATTCCCAAGTACAGATTCAGGAAAACTCATCTCATGGGCTGCAAAGGACCCTTTGGGCTGTTGTGCAAACCCAGGCCGGTCATTGTACTGGCCGAGTATGGTCTCAATCCGTGTTTTGTACTCTCTAACAGACGAGCCCAGGACTACTTTTATCCTTTTTTTTTTTTTTTTGGGGAGATTCATTCATCAATGATTAATCCCGAGACATTTTTGAGTCCTTGAGGCAATTTTAAGTCCATAGTCCATACAAAGGCAAGAGACATTATTGAGATTTCATGAGAGCAGCAGCGCAAGAAGACTTCCATCATCCGTCTCAATAAATGGACTAATCTGTTTTCAACCACAGGAGAGGACTTTTGATTTGCGCGTAATGCATTCTACTCCTTTGCATGTAAGCCCATGTCCTCGTTTTCAAGACTCGGCAAGCCAGAGGTTTTTTTGAGCCTCGAGTCAATTCTCAATTCATATCTGGCAATGAATGAGCAACGGTACAAGACTGCAGCTTGAGGCAACTCCTAGTCCCAGCAGCGGCGGGACGACACGCTATCAGTTTACTGACTTTTTGCTTGCTCTATGTTTATCTCTCTCTCGCACAAGTGTAAAACTTTCCTGAAATGGCTGCCGTAAGAAAAATCAATCTTGTCACCAATTTTCTATGTTGCTGCTTCCTTCTCAATCATTCTTGTTACTCAGAAATAATCAATGACACAATCTTACAGGGAGAAGAGCTCAGGGATTGGCAACAACTAGTTTCAGCAAGCAACTTCTGTAGATTGCAATTCTTCAGCCCCGGCAGTTCGCGCACCCGATATTTAGGCATTTTTCTCAACCAATCGCCCGATGATCTTCGGCCTGTTTGGATAGCCAACCGTGACAACCCCATTCCGGACGCATCAGGGAGCCTCAAGATCGCTCCTGATGGCAGGCTAAACATATATTCTAGTGGAGGCAGTGCAATCGCTCTCAGTTCTGCTCCATCATCAGCAGGAGGAAATGTTAGCGTCACACTATTGGATAATGGAAATCTTGTGCTGAGAGAACTATATTTCAATGGTTCTTTTAAGCAGACCTTATGGCAAAGCTTTGATTACCCAACGGACACGCTTTTACCAGGAATGAAAATTGGTATCAACTTAAGAACAGGGCATAGATGGTCGCTGGTTACCCCGGTAAGTCAAGATCAGGTACCTGCATCAGGGCCATTTATACTTGGCATAGACCAAAACGGAACAGGCCAATTGATGATTTGGTGGAGGGAAAAGGTTGTTTGGAACAGTGGGATTTGGCTTAACGGGCATTTTGCTTGTGCAAACCCTGATTACATTAATTTTACCTTCGTATCAGATGGGGATGAAAAAAGCTTCGTCTATACATCGAATACTCGCAATCGCTCTATGACAACATACACGCTAGAGCCAACAAGCTGGATTACTGAAGAAGGATTACAGGTTGATTTAATTGGTTGGTCTTCCTCCTCTGAGACGCGATCAGCTGAATGCTTTCCTCATAAGATGCTGCCTAGGTGCAAGGAAGCTTTATTTCATTTCGAACCAAGACAAGGGGATATAGTCGGTCACAGCTATACAATCGATGATTACAATTTGAGTCTCTTTGATTGTAAAGCCATGTGCGTGGAGAACTGTTCCTGTTTTGCCTATGCCTCAATCACCGATAATGAAACAGGCTGTGAATTTTGGAGCCAAAGCATGCATTTTATGACTACTTCAGGCAGACAGGTTTTTATTCGTTCAGAGTCATTAAAAGGTTGGTTTTTGGTTTAAATCTTTCATTTCAATTCACAGGCAGATCTTATTTAGAACAACAATACGAACCAGTGGATATTATGCAAAATTAGATTTCCTCTCAGGGTTAGTTAATTTGTATTACTATTAAAATCACAAGTCAAAAGGCGATGTTGATCTGAAGGAGTTCCTCAAGACTTGCTCTGACAACGACATTAAAGTTTCTTGAAAAATTTAACCAGAGGCTGTCTTGGTTCTCATTTTTGTTCTTCTCACTGTTTCACAAATTAAATTGTTATTGCCTTTTAAGTCAAACTACATATAGCTGCTATAGAACGTAAAATTTTCCTTGAATACAGATGACTACTCATCAACAAAGTGGTGGCCATGGCTTCTTGTGGCTTTAGGTGTATTACTGGCATTTGGCACCTTGTGTTGGATGCTACTGAGAAAGTGTGGAACTAAAGGTAGGCAAACAGACCTTCTTGTATGGAAGTTATAATGCAGAAAAAAAGAAAAATCGTTGGAATCTCATGTTCTTTATGCCAACTAGATAAAGCCAGAGGAACAAAAAAATCCCTGCTAGATGAGCTCGGTGGAAGCAATATGACACCAGAAACCAACGATGGTAAAGCCAATAAGGACGAAATACCCAAAAGTTTAAGCAAAGACTTGCTGTTGTTCAGCTTTGACAGCATTACAGCTGCCACAAACAACTTCTCCATAACCAGCAAGCTTGGAGAGGGTGGATTCGGACCAGTTTACAAGGTCAGTCTCGTAAGCTAGCTGTTGCATTACTAAAACACATTACTGTATGCACTTATCAGTAAGAAATTTCCAGGGAAAATTAGAGGACGGGCAAGAAGTTGCAATAAAAAGACTTTCCAAAAATTCAGGCCAAGGTGTGGTAGAGTTCAAAAATGAAATTCTACTGATTGCCAAACTTCAGCACAGAAATCTTGCGAGGCTATTGGGATGCTGCCTACAAGCAGATGAGAAAATTTTAGTTTATGAGTATATGGTCAACAGAAGCCTGGATTTCTTGCTTTTTGGTATCTGTTATTCTAGACATGATATGTACTGTATCCAGGAAATGGGAGAATTTTCTTGTTACTCATGTGGAGGTTGCTTTTATTTTCAGGGGCAGATTCTAGCAAAAAGGAGTTACTAAAATGGAGTATACGTCTGAATATTATTGAAGGGATTGCTCAAGGATTGCTCTATCTCCACAAGTACTCAAGATTAAGGGTGATTCATAGGGATTTAAAAGCTGGCAATATCTTGCTTGATGACAGCATGAATCCTAAAATATCAGATTTTGGTTTGGCAAGAATATTTGGAATGCAAGAATCTGAAGCAAAAACAAAAAGAATAGTTGGAACCTAGTAAGCCATGAATGTAACAATCAATCGTTATTGATCAGTTTTTAGTCCACTCAAATGCTTCAAACAAGAAGAAAATGTTTTTAAATTTAAAATTTTTATCTTCATTCAGTGGTTACATGTCCCCGGAGTATGCAATAAAAGGCATTGTTTCAATGAAGACGGATGTATTCAGTTTTGGAGTTCTGCTACTTGAGATTGTTAGCGGTCGGAAAAACAACAGCTGCTATCATTCGGAACACCCACTGAACCTCGTAGGAATGGTAAGCTTCTTAGGTAATACTTGGTTAGAGAGGAATTGTGGGAATTACCTGTAAAATGAAAACGTCGGCCTTGTTTCAGGCATGGGAATTGTGGAAGGAAGGAAGGGCTCTGGAGCTAATGGACCCAATGTTGAATGGCTCCTGCCCTGAAAATGAAGTCACGAGATGCATTCAGGTGGGTCTGTTGTGCGTGCAAGACCGTGCAATTGATAGGCCCTCCATGTCTGATGTGGTGTCCATGCTGTCGAACGAGGCTGTGCAATTGCCACCACCAAAACAACCAGCATTCTTCATTGAGACGGTTCCGGGAGACGCAGAAAAGGATAAGGAAGCTATTTGTTCCTTGAATGGCGTATCAATTTCAGCAACAGAGCCCAGGTAGAGGGTTCCTTCTTCCCCCGTTGGAGAAGGGAACCGGTCCCCGAGAAATGTCAAAAGAACTCTGAAGAGATTGCTAATCTGCATTACGAGAAATGAGACTAACTGACAATCAATTGTAAGCATATGAATCAGTTGAATCCTAACATAATCTATCTCTACCTGTTTCTAATGCAAGAGATGTTTTCACGATTTGATTTGATCATCTGGAATTTTGCGAGTTCCAATGAATTCAACCAGCTAATTTGTAGTTTTAACCGGAGCCGGAAGCCTGGAAGGAAAACCATCCAAGAACTTCTTGCAGTACGCTGCAGGTATCATGTACAGAATAAACCAAAACTATCCCAAATTCACCGTATGTAATTTATCATTATTCTGAATTGCCGACAATGCTGAACTTGATAAAATTCGATTTTGTACTTCTAAACACCAAAAAATAAAAAAAAATACTAACAATAAAGGAATGAAATCCCGGGCGGAATTAGAGCATTACTACTTTTTGGCACCTCATTCTTCAATCTATTTTATTTATCCTCCGCTAGTTTATGTCCACGCAAAAGAATTAATTAGCAAATTAGATCTCGAACAAAAGGAAAATGACTTCACTTTTAGAAAGTCAAAAATGACCCCTACTAAAATTGGGCCAAAATTTGGGTAATATGACGCAATCTGAGCCATTATATTTTTGAAAATAGAATCTATCAAGTGTGAGGTTAATGAATATATAAAAAATAAAAAATAAAAATTGAGGACACAATAGTGGCAAAATTCTTGCTTTGCTATTCCACAAATACCCCTCACTTTCATAATTCCACAATTTCCACTTCCTTTTGCGGATCTTTTTTGATCAGTCGCGCGTCGCTCCGCTGCCCTATATATAGCGCGGAGGAGGCAAGAGAATCCCCAAACACCGGCAATTCAACTATTGGGTTAGGGCTCGCTCCATTCGTCACGCTTTTCAAGAATCCACTAAATCGAACCCTAGCCCAAGAATTCAACCATGTCTTCCAAGCAAGGTACTCAATTTCTCTGATTAATGTTCACACATCTCCTTCTCCTTTTTTTTTTTAATTTTATTTCTTTCTGACTAAAAAGCCATCTCCTTTTTGTTTGTTTTTTGTCGACGTAACTTGTATAATCCGTCTTTATTAATTTTTTCCCCCTTAGAAAAGAGGCTGAAATTTGGGGGTGTAATTTGTCCTGATTTATATGTTTGTTCAGGTGGAAAAGCAAAGCCTTTGAAGCAGCCAAAGGCTGACAAGAAAGAATACGACGAGGTATTTTTACTGCAGTCTGATTCTGGTTGTTTATGATCTACTTCTTTTTCATTGTGCCTGGACATTTTAGTTCGTCGATCTGATAATCAATGAATTAGAATTTGAAATTCTGGTTGATTTGTTGGACTTTCTTGATGGATGTGTATTTGCATAAATAAGTGTCCTTCACATACTTGTTTTCTCTTATTTCTTTTATTTATTTATTTTATTTTGGGGGTGGGGGTGGGTTATCGGGTTTCAAGTTGTCGAAGCTGTTCAGTAACCCTTTTGGTTGAACTATTTATGATTCTGATTGTAGAATTCAGTCTTGAATTTGAGCATTTGGAACTCTCAATGCCTATTTATGTTTTCTATTTGAGTTGCCCGTGTACCAATTCCGTCTTTTTTTTCAGTCGTGTATGGAAACTCAATGTTGGTTGTTTCTGGTTGATAAGTTAAAGGTGGGTAGGGTGAAGCTTTTGTTCGATGTTTATTACTTTTTCTTGTTTTGTATGGCTCACGTTGCTGAGCTGAATTGAGAATTCGGCTATTGTGGACTCTCTTTTAGTTGCTACAATAGTATTCTGGTGCAATTGGGTGCTTGGTCTTTTAAATGGTCTTTCCCTGTGTCTTTGTCGTTGTTCTTTCAGTTTGTCTAAGTGTTTGTTTATTTGCAGGAAGATAAGGCTCATCTGCAAAAGAAGAAAGAGGAGGAAAAGGTGAACGATTTCCTATTGTCTGGGTTTCTGTTTGACAGTTTCAGTTGAGGTGATCATTTTTCCTCTGTTTTGTTGTGATTGGCAGGCACTGAAGGAGCTCAAGGCAAAGGCTCAAAAAGGAGCTTTGGGCGGTTCTGGGCTCAAAAAAAGTGGCGGGAAGAAGTGAGGATTTAGAAACCTAATGCGAAGCCTAAGCATCCTTGTGTTAGATTGGTTTATCATCAAGCATTTGCTCTATGGCTGGGAATGATTGTTGAATTCAGTGAAATGTGTGAAACATTTGCACCCTTCGGAATACATAAGCCGTGTTAGAATTTGTTTCTGTTTCCTTTAACATGGTTTTAATGTTGAATTGTATGTTGTTTCTGGTTTTATGTTTTCATATTGTATTGAACTTCACAGTTCATGGTTGTGTTTTATCTGATGGTAAAGGACCATTGCATTTATCTCAGTAACTGATTCTTCCTGAAAGTCCAGCCATGAAGTAATTGTGACGAGTCTACCTACTAAAACTTTCACCACTATCATTATTGTCTGTGGATGTCGATTCCTAAAGTTGATAGGCAAGGAATATCCCTGTCATTATTTGGGCTATTTTGGCGGGGGCCCTTCTCACGGAGCCTGCTATAATTGGAGTGCCAGGATGGTATTGGTGCTTTTCGCGAATGACATTCATAAAATGAGTTTGGAAAACGTTAGCTTTAGATCTGGCTGGAAATGATAGGTTTAGATCAGGTTGGAAACTGATAGGATAAATTGACACCTGAAGGCTGTGGCATGGAAGGCGTGTTTGCTTTTGAACTAGAAGGGTAACTAGACCAAAGTAGCTTTTAATTCTGGTTCCAATGGCTGTTGCAGCATATAGTTCTTCATCTGGAAAGAGAAAATGAGAACAAAGGCCATCTGGAAGGGAAGTATTTGGATGCTTGTTTTCCATTCTCTTTCCTTCCGGCCTTGAGACTTGAGAGCTTTATTTCTCTTGTTCGCTGAACGGTTGTGTTTGCTTTCTCTGGTTCGTGAATTTATTTTTGCAAAATTCATTCATGTAAAGTCTCATTCTTATGGAATCAACATTTAACGACGTTGTAAACCTGAACCTGATGTACAATGTTCACGCATTCCCAAAAAGTTGATCGAGAAAAGTTTGAACAGCACGTACAACTTGCCAAATTTCATCCTTGGCGCGCCTAGAGGTCAACAAGGAGAGCACATACTATTAATTAGAAGTGGCTGTAGTTGTTCACTAGCAAAACTGTTTTGACAAGGAAATTACATTTTAACTAGATTTGCTATCTAGCTGTTCAGTAGCACAACCGTCCATCGTCGAAACGAGAGATCTACTAGTTTGAAGTGAAAAGTTCCCTACCATCCCCTAATTTTGCAACCCCAAAACTTTGCAAGAGCACAATCTGCTAGTAGCTAGACCTGGTCATTTACGTCCTTCAGCTTCAATTCACCATGGGATACGTGCAAAGTTTAGCTACAACATCTCTCCCTTAAAAACACTTCAAACGAAATGCCTATCCCTTGCAAATAAGTCTATTCAAACATTAAAGCAATTCTCCCTTCAGAACACTTGAAATTATTGATCTTGCTTCTCTGGGTCGTCCTCTTTCTCTGGATCTTCCTCCTCCTCTTCTTTCTTTTCTTCTTCTTCCTCTTCATCTTCTTCAGGAGGATCAGCTGGTAAGGGGGGTGGCAACGGAGTTTTCATAGGGCTGAATTGGGGAAAGATGTCTGGCCTGCGTCCAGGCTTTGGCCGCTCCCATTCCTAACACAAATTTTGAATTAGATGAGAAATAAATAAATTTCTACTAGTTGAAAGGCCTGCAGAAAACACGTTTTAGAGAGAGGGGGGGATAAAATGGGAGGGAGGGAGAGAGGTTTGAAGTTCCATATATAGAAACCAAATTTTCTTGTGATCTACAGCCTAGTGGGCAGACACACATCTGAGTCTGCGGATACATCAACCCATGCACAAGCTTGCACCAACAAGAACAAGTGATGGGATGGATGAAAATGAGTATTGAAAATATTTATGACAGGTCATCGACTGTATAGACAGTATTAAATGCAGTAAAAAGAAAGAGATGACCAACATATGGATATTTTCCAACACTAGTAAGATTTATAGATGAAGAATGTCAAGTTGCTTTAAAAAGGGTGAGATGTGTGATCGTTCAATCTTTGTATTCAGCAATAATAAGCTGAAATCAACAATGTACCAAATGCAGTACTACTACAAATTCCCTATCGCTTCGTTTGGATTAAGGGATTTGACAAAGTATTTGAAACCTATCAAATTGCTCTAATTGTTTGGATTGCTTGGGCTTATAATTATCTAAGTACATTTTAAACACTAGAGTAATTAGTGAGTAACAAATCTGAATACCTATAAAATAATCTAAACAACTGGAGGGATTTGAGAGGATTTTAGATACTTTGTCAAATTACTCAATCCAAATGCAGCCTAACAATTTGAGCAAAAAATTTTCTGGGTTAATAGAGTGACAATCTTGAAGGACGTATCAATCTGCTGCAGGAGAAGCTAAGGATGACAATGTCTAGCTAAAAGTTTATTATGCCTTTGATATTATTCCACCCAGTTGAGAAACCTAAAACCTGTAACTTCAACACCTACTGTTCCATATTTGGCACTCAAGATATACAATTCTACTAGAGCACCAACTCCAGCCAACACAAACGAACAAGACCAAAATCAACCTACCTAATAGGAATTAATCCTGCGGAAGCCAACACTGCGGAAGCCAAATTTGCCATTTTCTCACCTCACTACAAAGTTTCATCATATTCTATACTCGAGCTTCGTTAAGAATTAACCACAAATTTTTTACCTAAAAACTCCACACCTCATTATTCATGTTAACAGTTTAACGCAAATTTCAAAATCCTTGTAGGTGATACAGGCAATTCCAGGAAGACCGGAAGAAGAAAAGAACGAAGATTCGACTTACAATTGGGAAATCTAGAGGAGAACGGCGAGTCATCTTCTCTTCCTCGGGAGCCATACGAACCACCTGTAGGCCCCTCCGCTGCTGACTATGCCCTAGCCCCCCACATTTTCTAAAGATTGAAACCGACCGCGGAAGGAAAGATACGACATGTGGCTGACGGCTCACTATTTGGTCGGAGGTCGTCGATGATGTCGACGATGAATGACCTGAGCTGCTCAGCAACGGCAAAGCCGCCGGAGCATATGAAGATAGAGA